CTCTGCGGCTGCTCCTCCTCGTCCACGCACAGCACCTCGCGGAACCGCGCCGCCTCCCCGCACGTCTTGGTGCACTGTGTGCGACAAACAACAGCTCAGGCAACCCTGGGGGGCTCCAGGGGACGAACCCACACCCCAGCAACCCCTGTAAGCTGCCACTGGTATCCCCTGGGGGAGGATTTCCCACCAGGACCTGCTGTGCCCCATGCTGCTGCCTGTGACAAACTGCTGCTGACCTCCGGAGTACTGACCCACATGCCCAGGAGAGAGCAGAAACCAAGGCAGCAGGTATTGGGATGGGGCAGATGTGAGGCCCAGCTGTGGTAGGATCAAGATATATTCAGGGTTGGGCCTGCTGGGCCAGGAGATAGGGCCAGCCCCCATTATTTCAGCCCCTAGTGAATACAACTGTTTGGAGAACGACAACTCAACCATCCCCCGTGCAAAATTCACATTGCAGCACCTCTGGCTGTGGCTCGGGTGGGGGGGAGCTCCTTGCCCAGCTCTCTGCCTTGGCATGGGACACATTTAATCATAGAATCATCATAGAATAGTTTGGGTGAAAACAACCTTAGAGACCAACTCATTCCAACCCCCTGTCATGGGCAGGGACACCTTCCACTAGAAGCAGGTTGCTCAGAGTTTCACCCAGCCTGGCCTCAAACACAGCTCTACAACAACCACAGCTGAGGCAGCCCTGCAGGTTTATTCTCTTTTAAACACTGCCCTGCCTGATATTAAGAGCAACCCATGCCAGACAAGTACAAGTGCTCCCCAGGTCCTTCTGGAGATTTCAAGGACTCAGTTCTTTCTCTCCTTGTCACAGAAAAACGTGCCTGACTGTGAGGCTGTGTTCCTGGGAGTGGAGCTGTCCTTGGAGGGCATCTTAGAAAAACACATAAAACAAAATAAATCAGTGTAAGAGCAGCTGCCTAGATAAAACCCCATTTTCTTTTAGTTATTGCCTATAATGGACTTCTAACACTTTCAACTAACTGGATTAACGAGGAGAAAAATGCATGAAAATAATCATTTATAGAACATGTAGGGAATGTCTTCCCCTTAAGGAAAAGGATAAAACATCCAATCAGACCATCCCTATCTGTACAGAAACACTGCTTGAAGTTACCTAGGCTTGGAACACTATGCCAGTTTAATCTAGTTGGAGTCTTACCCTTCAAACATCATTTCCAGCCTCCCTGAAGCAAATCCTGTTCTCCTGGCTGGCCAACAATTAGGAAGATATTAGTGGGTTCAGCTAATTGCAAAATGCAGGCACTGTCATGGCCTTGTTACTGTAATTGGCTGTCAGAACCAGGATTGTAAATTATTTGAGAATATTGAAAATTCAGATCAGTGTATGGCAGCAGCAGCAAACCAGGAGAGCAGCAGTGAGCACAACATCATGTGGGGTGTAAATATTTAAAACTGGGGCAAAGTGGAAAGGGATGGGGAAGGAGAGGCAGCTCCACAAAGCAGCATTTATTCCAAAGGAATAACTTAGGAGCTCTTAGGCAACAGTCAACATTGCAAAATCTGCAGTCTGCCAGAAGACCCCAAGGGCTTTGTGTGCTTTCAACCTTATTTACTCTCTTGCTTTGAGTCCTTGGAGTGGAAGCTCCTTCTAGGTCTGCGCTGAAACATGGCAATCCTACAGGGGTTGGGGGAATTTGCTGGAGTGTGATTTCCCCAGAAAGCAAACAAAGTGAGCTATATTTGCCCATCTCTGATTATCTCCCTATTACATAAGTGAAAACCGAAAGGGGGTCATTGTGTGTGAATATGGCACCACCACAGCTCCATCATCAGGGAGCTCCCCTGACAGCTCTCCAGGCACCTTCTGGGGCAGCCTGAACCCCAACCTTCCTGCTCACTGGAAGCAAGGTCACAGGATGCTCAAAGCTTCCCTCCTCTCTGCTTTGGCATTTCCAGCCCAGCAAAACAGGGTGAATCGTTCCATGGTCCCTCACAGCCAAAGGAGGCACCTTGAAAGGAGTGGGAAGAACCAAGCCTGATTTTGTCTCATCTCCTTAATGTATATTTCAGACTAAATTTACAAAGTACATTCGTTCATGCTTCACTTTCAGAGGGTAAACCATGTCTATGCCATCAAGGCATCTTCTAAGAGTGGCAGTGAAGAGCTATCACATCAAAAGCCCATCCTTGATAAAAATCATTACTTGCTGATGAAAGACTGGCACTCCCAAGCTCAGGCCAACCTGATTTGGGTTTGTCTGCAAATAACAGCTGTGTGGCCAAATAAACTGAGCCAGCTCTGTGCATTTTGTCATCATCAGAAATTGAAAGTTTGGTTATTTGTATTTTTAAGGGTAACTGGTAATTAAAATAATCCCACTGAAATATTAAATGAGGCTCAAAGACAGTGAGACCATCATAAACTAAGTCAAAGAGAAACACTGCAGAGGTTCCAATCAGCCACCCCAAAGTTATAAAACATTATTCATGCAGAAAGCAGAGAGTTCAGCTAGCATGGAAAGGCTATTTTTCCTTTTAATGCAGTGACAGATTTTGCATGAATTCTCATGTTCAAGATTGATTTAAATCTCACACAAAATAGTGGGGCCAGGCTACAACAGCTATTGATAGCAAAATCTGAAAACAGGTCAGGCATTTGACAATATTTGTCTCTTTTGCCTCATTTCCCAAATTCTGAACTATTTTCCTGGCAGATCAAATTAAGGATCATTTCAGGCACTTCTGAAACTGCTTTAGAAGAGCAATAATAATAATTAAAACAACCCCAAAGGCATTGCTTTGCAAAAGCATTGATTTTTTTTCTTTTTTTTTTAGATAACAATCTAACACAGAGATGAAATGTACCCCCCGTGCCATGAATGCTTGAAACATGCCTTGGGTAACTCTGCAATTCAAATCAGGCAAGGATGGCACAATTTCCCCCCAAAAAGATAAATGTCAAAGATTCAGGAGTTGGATGGCAGCTTCCAGAGCGTGCACTGTCCTTCCACAGAGGCTCCTATTAAAGAAAAAAACCCTTTCTTTCTCCCAATTTTCCCTTTTTCTTTGTGACTCTAGTCTGAGTTTTATTTTGGCATTAGCAAGGCTCTTTCTATTGACTTTCTTCTCCCTGGGGAGGGCACTGAGAACAGGTGATTAATGTGATACACCAACAGAGCAGTAAATGGTTTCCAGTAAGTTTCATATTCCTTCTCATTGTCAAGACCAACACTTATTTTTCTAAACAACACAAGTACAACAACAAAAAGGAACAATTAAAAAATCCCAAATGCTCTTGAGAGATTCCCTTTAAAGATAAGGAATCAAGAACAAGACAGCACTGAGATGTTATTTATATCCTGCCTTCCATGTCAATTAAGGTTCATTGCTGCTCCCTGCTCAGAGAATACCAATGCAATCTGTGCCTCCTCATGGACACTGCCTATGGCTGGAGGGAGGTGCTATTCTTTTTTCTCACTGTGTACACCAGAACAAAATAAGAAGTGCTTGGAAGAAATGCTTGGAATCAGCCAGAGGGGCAAGCTCACAATGGGCAGCTCCTGCATTTTCCTGTTCATGGTTACTCATGAGTACTTATGAGGGTGAGGAAACCTCCAGTCCATCCTCTTAGTAAAGCTCCCTTGAGGAAAAAGCAAATCTCCACAATATGTTCAAAATTTGCCCAGTGCAATGGGGAGTCCTGGAAAACTTCAGGAAACATCAGTATTTGTATCCCATCAAGGGCTCAGAAGGGTGGAGGCAGGCGCCTCTCCAAACTGCTTTGAGAAGTTGCAAAGATAAGGGAGAGAGGGCAAAACTTAGTTGCAAGTTGGAATTGATGATTTTGGAGGTCTTTTGCAATTAATGATTCTAAGATTCTACAAAAGGATGGGGCAGGAGCTGTTTCTTTCCAGGGCTGATTACAGCACCAGATAAGGACTGGCACTACCTGCTGTTTGGTGACCTCTTTGCTGCCTTTAAATTTATTCACTGAAGAAGTCAATAGGCTCTGTAAAACTAAAACTAAAACTGCAAGGAAGCTGCTGGAGCCCTCTCAGCTGTTCCTGCATTTCCTTTTCTGGCTGGGATGTTTCCATCTGCTACCATTGTGTGACCAGCCTGGCTTTGCCTCCTGCTGCTTCCCATCACACTTCCCTGAGTCCTGGGAAGCAGCTGGGAAAGGGCACAGCCCCCTCTGGCCTCCTGCACTCGTGGCTGGGTTACACAGGGTTATAAACCCAACTTCCCAGCACTGCTGAGATTGGGGAAATGAAGATAAACTTGTGTGTCCTGTTCCCGTCAGGTGGAGGTACCACATGCATGGGCTAAAAACGGGAAAAAGACAGAATGAAAAGAATAATTTTGGGGTCTGGTCTGAGCTGCCTCTGCCAAAAACTTCTGGGTACTTGAAGGCTGACACAGCATCCTCTTGGCAGTGCATGGTGGGGTTCCTCCTGCTCAGAATCCCCTCGTCCTCTTACCACCCACCAGCCTTGAGGCCACTCATGCCCACACTGCAGGAGAGCTGGAGTCACTCCCTAAACCACTGGAGCAGCAGCTTTATCCCCAGTTTCAGTCTCAGGAGCTGTTTTTGATGGGAACTGATCCTGGTCACACAGAAAAGCATCATCTCCCACAGAAGACTTGATCTCAGCACTGCTCATGGTTTGATAAAAAAGCAAAGACCCGGAGCTCAGTGAATGGATAGGGATGACACATGGAGCTGGGGTAATGGGGCAGGAAAGAGGGAATTACCACTGCTCCCTAACTCCTCCAGGCACTGGGCTCAGGCTGGAGCAGCACAGCAGGGCTCTGCCTCCTGGAAGAGACCCAAATCCATCCTACCCAAAATCTGCTTAGTATTTACATAGGACCCAGCCAAACCCAGGGCAGCAGAAGCAATAAATTAACCCTACAGAGGCATTTCTCTGCTCCCCCTTTCAGACAGCATGCATGAACTTTTTTTTTTTTGCAACTCCAGGTTGCAACCCAAACACCCTGACCCTCCAGCAGTGCTTCCAGCATCACAGCATGCCTGAGAGCACAGAGCTGTGAGCAGGGGGAAGGAAGGGAGG